GGGCACTGGGACCAACTGCGCTGCAAAAGAACATCTTTGACTGGGGGGGAGTGGCACGAAGTAAATAAAACTGTTCTTTGGAGACTGTCTTGCAGGCCAATTTGAGCCCAGATTCCATCCCACGCACACCAAAGAACGACATTCCTCTCATTGGGTGTCCTTGAAAAGCGCTCTGCTTTGCCTTCTAAGAATAACACTGAGCTTGCCAGGCCACAGAAAGCTGGGAATACTCTCACAGATTCTCTTCAGTGACCCAGAAGACTCGCATCTAGATGGTCTTGAACAGACACGAGCACACAGACCGCTCCAAACAGCCAATGTGACCCAGTGAGACAGCAAAGCTGCCATCCTTCCCGGCAGCACATGTGAGAAGCGCCTGGGTGAAAAGCACACCCAGAGGGCAAGGTCAGAGAGAAACAGGCACTACCTTCCTGGAGAGGTCTGGTGCAGATGAAAAGCCCTGGCTTTTGGCACGCTGGTATGGTGAAGATAGACATTTTCTCCATCACAAACACCTTGCAGATGAGATTTTCACACAACAAACAGATGCTCTTTTCCCCTGCCTGAGGCATCCAATGAAGCTGAGAAGCAAGAACCTCTAGCAGGGAAAGCTCCTTCACCAGGAGACACCCATGGCTGCATCCCAAACAGCCTTGGCTGCTCTGTCCCCAGGTGCACCTCGGCTGAGATTAATGTAATCAGTGTCTGCAGAATGGGGCACAGCTGGGACCCAGGAGGTGACATCCCCCTGCCCCCAAGGAAGCTCTTTCAAAAGATGATTTACTTCCACTCCTGGTCCTGTAGGAACAAAAACTTCCCAATTTAAGTTACCTAAAAAAAAAAAAGAATGAAAATGACATCACTCGATCCAGGCAGGCAAGGTTTAATTTAATCAGGCACTTAAACAAGGTGACACAGAAGCTCAATTCGGTGTCCTTGAGTGGGATGACAACTAGTCCAGAACCCTGAGCAACCGCAGGCTGGATCGCAGCTGGCAGACGGAGAAGGCAGCAAAGGAAAGGACACAAGGAGTCCCCTCAGCTACAAAGGAACACAAGCAGCAAGTGGGGCAGGAGAGGGAAGTGGGGTCACTGCATCCCAGGAGGGCACAGCTCAGAGCCCTCTTCTGCAGGAGCAATGCTCAGAGTCCTGCCTGCACCCCTGAGGTGAAAGGGCCATTCTGCAGCAACTGCCCAGCTCCACAGCGGGGCTGCAGCCTCACGAATGCAAACTCTGCCACAAGTGCTTGCGGGGCAGCTCAGCTGCACCACACTGTGCCACCTTCCATCTCCATGGACAGCACTGCTGCTTCGCCATCAGTCAGGCTTAGGCTGAGATGGAGCAGCTCTCACACAAAGCAGAGGAACATTACCTTCCTGCTGTCGCCATCTCAACGTGTCCATCAAGCCCTAAGACAGAACCTCCTCGATTTTTACAGCCATCTGACATCGACAGCTGCTGTTCTGGACAACAGCAGACAAAGCCATGACTTCCAGAACCCAGGAGATACAACGCAGAGGAAAGGAATCACTCCTGTGAGGAAGGGGAGCTGAACACTGAGCACAGCTCTGCACCTCTGCTTGTTGTTCCCAACACACAGCACAGCCCAAACTGGGCCGTGTGGGCTCCTCTCCATCCCTCTGCACGTGTTCTCTGTCCTCGTGTTCTCTGTCCTCGTGTTCTCTGTCCCCACTACAGCCCCATGTGCAGAGCAGCCCCTGCTGCCATCTGCTGCCAGCTGCACACTGCAGCCCCCACGCACGCGCCCGGCGTGAATTACTGCGCTCTCCAAATTAACGATGGAACAAGGGCAATTAAAAGGGAAGAAAGTCAGGGGAATGCACCATAAAAGAGGCTTTATTCTTTTATTTTGTCAATTGCAATTTAGCTTTAATTATTTATGGTAATACTAGCTTGCTAGTAAGTGTTCTATAACATGATTTATAAAAGGAAGGAAACCTAAGTAATAAGTAACATTTGCTGCTGCATCTGCTATTAAATCTTTGCTGGGGCGGAGAGCACACACACCAGCCCTGTGTATGCAAAGTACCAATTAGCAAAGCACTACTGTAAAACGCAAAGCTTTAATCAATGGGAAAAATCCACTTGAAAACAGCGAGCATGCTGATTTCAGTTATAAAAATTACCACGTTTCTATACAGTAAGTGGCTTTTTATCTGCAATGGAGGAGCACTTACAGGGAGCGCTCGCTCCTGCGGGTGGCACGGGGGTACCTGACTGCCGCCTGGCCGAAGCAGGAGAGCAGCTTGTCCTGCTGCAGCCAGCAAGGCTGGGCTGGCTCTGCCTCCACAGCGCGTGATGCTGCACGGTGCTCCCTGCCCACTGCAGAGATCTGAGGATCAGGCAGGGTGCGTGGCCGGGACACAGACACTCTGGTTCTGCTTGTGAGCCAGGAACTGCACTCCAGCCTGGACCCACAGCCTGACCTCAGCTGTTTGGTTTTCTCTAAGCCCTCCAATGCACAGCCACATCAATCTGTAACAAAATGGTGACATTGCTCCGTCCAGGCAGGGCCCCCAGAGACAGCAACTCCCAGCTCTACAGCTGCCCTTGGCTGTATGGGAGAAACAATGGAAGCTTCTCAAGTAAGAACAGCATGCAAAAAGCAGTGTGGTTTGGTTTTTTAATTTAAATAGCAGTTTCCTTTAAATAGAATGTTCCAGCCATAGAAAGGTTTCAATCACTGACTAAGATCAATTAGCCCAGGAAGCAAGGGAAATATTTTAATGGCCCTTTGATTGCAGAGGCCACAGCTTCTCCGATGCTGCGCTGAACAGCAGGCAAGTTCAAGCCCCCAGCTTTGCAGCAGGGTGCTGAAGGGTACCGTAGGGAGCTATGGGGTGTTGTAGTAGAGTGCTGTGGTGTGCTACAGATGCTACAGTGAGTTATAGGGTGCTGTGGGGTGCTGCAAGCTACTGGGGACTTCCCACTTGCAACAGGAACTTCTACCGCAGTGGGAACACAGCTGGCATCTCCTAGCACTGCCCCAGGGGCTTTGTGACCCCAGCAGCCCCTCATGATGAACTGGAGCAGGAAATGGGGTCAGCATCGTGGCAAGCGCGACCGAATGGATGCTGGCCAAGAGATTAAGCAAGAGGCAGCGTGACAGAGCCCAGGGCCATCTGATGGGAGAGGCCATTGTCAGAACAGTGACAGCTCCTCATGCAGTCTCTGCAGTTGTGACAGACAAAGCTGTTTGCTGTTTATATTCCTCAGCAGGGAGCAGGGCAGACGAACTGGGATGCTGCCGCCCAGCCTGGCACAGAACTCAACAGCCCCTCTAAACATCATTGCTCAGAATCCAACGACACTGCAGAACTACAGAGAGAAGCCTGGCTGCTAGCAGCAGCAGCAGGGCCACACAACTGGTGCTGGACCAGCATCAGCCCCTCCTGAGGGTGCATTTCCACCAAAGATGCCCACAGCAGCCAGACAGCAAACCTCACCCTGCAGAGGATCGGGGCAGAAGATGTTGATTCCTTCCTGGGAAAACCCAGACAGCAAGGGCACACAGCAATGGTTTGGAGAAGCCCTGACTCTGCAGAGTGCCCACTTCCAGCACTGGGAACATAGGGCTTAGAGCACATTTAGGAAGGAAATGCCCAGTTCTCACAAGACAGCACAACAGATGAATCAGGGCTGTGCTCATATCAAGAGGCACTTGCTCACACATGAACTCCATCTGCGCCCACATAGCTGCATTGCTTGCTTAGAAAACAGAGGACAAAGCCATGTGCCCAGGAATGTCACAGCAAACAGAGCGGGACTGGGACCTCACAGCCCTGACACGGAGTGTTCACAAAGAGCCTCAACACCCAGCTGGGATCTGGACAAATGCTGCCACTCTCAGCAGGATCCCCACGGCCCCACAGCGCGCTGCTCCCAGTGCTGAGGGCAGGCAGCTCCAGATAAAGTCCTGTGGACAGATTAGGAACGGCAGCAGCGCCGTCTCAGGTGCAGAATGACGCAAAGCTACACACCAGCAAAGTGGCCCTATATCAAACTTACCTGAGTCTGGCTCACCTCCCAGGCATATAAAACGATCAGCACAAAAGGAAATATTATCTTTTTGCACACGTACATTTCTCTGCAAACGAAATTCCTGACTAAAGTAATGGCAAGCACATCTCTGCTCGCCTACTGCAAGGAGAAGAAAGCACTGCTCACCAAAATTTTCCAGCAACAAAAGGTCGAGGATCCCACTCAATCCCCAGTGACCGTGCCCTCTTCACAAACCCTGATAACCAAGTGATTACGGTAAAAGCTGTCAAGGGCTCTGCTGACCAGAGCAGCCCTCTCACCAGCTTCAAGCAGCTTTGCTGGGGAAGAAAAAAAAGTCATAATTCAATCAGCTTGGAAGAGTCTATTCCCCACTGATCCTGAGCGATCAGCCTTCATGTCGACATTACATTGAGTTGCTGAAGATTTTCTTTTTTTTTTCTTCCCCTTTTCGTTTTATCAAGCAAGAATTGAAAGGCAGCAAAGCTAAAAACTGTGTTAGAAGGGAACTGGTTCACTCGGGAGGAGAAACATAATGCTCTTTCTACAGACGCAATTTTGAATCCAGCCCTGGCTGGTAATGTGACAACGGTCACTGGTGTCTGAAGGATGCCTGGAAGGGAAGAGTCAGGGAGGACCATGGGGTGCACTGGGTGGGGATGGGGTTGGAGGAAGGCTCCAGACAGAGCTGCAGGCCGTTCCCTCCCTTTCTCCCTGGCTGTTGGGCAGTCCCAGCATCTGCCCCATACTCAAAGCAGGTGCCAGGGCCTGGCTGCCCTATGGGGTCTCAGGAACAACAGTGCAAAGCTAAAGATGCTGGAAAATTCGCAGGCATTGTCAAGTCCTAAGCAATTCCACGATGCTGAAATGTAGGGGCGATGTTTGCTGGCTCCAAGCCCTACAATCAGCTCTGCTGCCATCCACCATGGGAGGTGAACTACTGGTGAAGGAAAGGGGTGAGGTCATGGCAGAGCACTTACTTTCAGCTACGCAACCGATCAGCAGCACGGACAGGAGGCTCACGAGGGAGAGCAGCGCAGGCATCCCAGGGCTGGGAAGGATCCTCATCCTCTGTGTCGGCCTTCAGCCCCCCCCACGGCTCCGCTCACAGCACTCACAGCGCCCGCCCAGCGGCGTCAGCACCTGCAGGGGAGGAAGAGGAGAGCGTTGAGGAAGAGGAGCAGGGAGAGGAGCGGGGAGGAGCGCGGGGAGGCTGAGGGACCCGCAAGGAGGCACCATCGCCATCGCTGTGCCGGCACGGCCTGCGCTGGTCTTCCTGCCTCAGAGACAACAGCCAATTTCATAGAATCATTCAGGCTGGAAAAGACCCCTCTGGTCCCCAACCCACCCCCCATGTCCCCTGATCACAGTGCCCCCCGTCCCTCAGTGCCACATCTCCATGGGCAGCTGTGCAGTGCATTACACGCTTTGGGAGAATAAATTCTTCCTAACACTGAAACTGACCCCACAACCTCCCTAGGGAGCGATGAGGTCTCCCCCGAAAAGGTTTTGTGCAGGATGAACGCGTGCTGGGGCTCCGCAGGGCTCCCGGCTCAGCCACTGCCCTGCTCCGTGCCTCACTCCTCTAGCAGAGCAGTGACACAGTCTGGAGCCGGGCGTCCCACTGATGCTGATGGAGCAAAAGGCACAGAAGCAAATGGCCTCTGAAGACACACAGGAGATGCCGTGTTGCCCAATTCTGCTCTGGATGGGATGCAGCCCGGCTGCAGCAGCTCTGGCAGTGGCTCACGCAGAAGGCTCACTGCCGTGGAGGCAGCTCCAGCTTGTCCTGATCCCTTCACAAAGCTGGAATGGCATTAAGGAGGCGGCCCTTAGTGATGCTCCCTGTCCAGTCTGCCAACCCTTCGTGCTTTGCCCCAGAAGGGCTGAAAATACGAGGTGGGAGCCAATGAAAGCTGCAGCCACAGCCTCCTGGTGCTCTGCAGCCACTCTGCAGTCAGTACAGAGCTCAGCAAAGGGCCGCGCTCCCACATCTGTACCAAACCCTTTTGGCTCTCCATTACCCCGATTAAAAGTCAAACCCAGGGTTTGTCCACCTTTTGGAGCAAAGCCAGGTAGGAGAGATTGTACAGTGATGAAATGCCTTGAAAGGACTAAGGGGACAGCAAGGCTGCTGAAGCTTCCTGATGCACATCAGGGCATGAAACCATCAGGACAGGCAGCATGAAGGGGCATTTTAATCTTTTTCGGTCCCATTAACTCTTCAAGGCTGAACTGTAAAGAACTATAAGAGAAGTGAGGATAAACAAGAAGTTTCCATATGTACCCAGCCCTAAAGAGCAGCTTTGCAGAGAGCAGCTTTGGGTTTGCCCTTTGAGGATTACAAAGCTCTGCTGTGCACTCTGTGCTAGTCTGAGCCATCGTGCTTCAGTGCTGCCTTGTGAAAACAGCAGAAACACTCATACTCTACAAAATAGAAAAATCTGGATTAGACCACTGGGAACCTCTTCACATTTTTGTCTCAGAGGTGATCTGAGAAACAAGCAGAGGCTGCAGCCAGAATTAAGAGGGGCTCACAGGGTCCCAGAGTGCAGAATGATGTGCTGGGGTTCCTTTTGTGGCTGTCAGAGGCAAGCACAGACCAGGGACATTACAAATAGGTGTGACAGCCACTGCTAATTAAATTGGGGATGCAGTATCAGTGCCAGCACAACAACCAGAGCAAACTGCTGTCTGCCTGTTGGCTCTCCCTGCTCCCTGCTCAGTCACACAGCTCCCAGCTCCCATCAGTGAGGCTGCAGAGGGCAGCAATGGGAGCGCACGCCTCCTCCCAGCCCTCAGAGTTCTCTCTATTTCAAAAACACCAGGCCAGCCCAGTCAGCACTGCAGAAATTGTGTTCTTTACCAAAGCAAAGCCCAGTGCATCCCTCCCTGCCCACTGCATCCCACACATGCCACCAAACATCTCCCTGACCCCATCCACTCTCTGCATGTGGCATCAGCGACGCTCACAGCTCAGAGCAGACGCAGTGCTGCACTGCCCCAAGCTGAGTGCCCCAAACCACCAGCGATGGAGCTGAACGCCAGCACATCATGCAGACGTCTCCTGAGCCCAGCAGCTCCCCTTCCTGCATTCTGCATGGCTTTTCCTGCCACATAATGGGCTCCGATAGAAAAGGTCTGGTTAAAGGGACATGGCAACAGCTCCAAGATTAGAGAAGGAGATGCCAGAGGGTGACACTTCCGCTCCGGTGCTAATGTGCTTTCCGAGCCCTTGATGGAGACAGAAAGTGCTGGCAGAGATATTAGGACACGTCAACCTCAATCCAGCAACTCATCCTTCAGAGCAGGTACAGCACCGGCTGTCCCCTCAGCATTGGGATTTTCGGGACGGCGGGATGAGTGTCCACCCAGCTGCTCTGCAGGGATTGAGGGGCTGGAACGCTCTTGCTTTCTTTGCAGCACCCCGACAATAGGGAGGATGAAAACAGACTCATTCACTGCACGATTCCCCAACAACGCAGAACACGCAACGTTTGGGTGCCAGCCGCCATGCAACAGGCCTCTGCTGCCCTCCAGGCGGGGCTGAGTTTGAGCAGGAATTACTTTGATGAACGCTCACATCACCACGGTTTCATGAACCATCCTCTCCCCTCCTCAGCCTGTGCTCAGCTCAGCTCACCTGAGGTCTGGAGGTCGGACTGCTGCCCCGGCCACTCAGTGCTCCACACAACGAAGCACAGCAGCATTCTGCTGCCCATTCCTGCCCATGAATTGCAGACTTGCACAGAATTCTCTGGTACAGGATCTCCCACAGCAGGAGCGAGTCACCTAACAGACCTCAATCCCCACTAAAGAATGCAATTAAGTGAAGCCATGGCCCCCAGTGGGGTCAGATTCATGTTGGATACGGTCACATTTCAGGGATAAGATTAATTCTTCTGTAACGAGCTCCTGTAAGACATCCATTCTCGCTCACTGCCTGAGCTCCAGCTTTGAGCATGCTAACGTGTGCACACTGTGAGCGCTGTGCATGGCCTTGAATACTGCCAAAATAACCAAACGGAGACGTGTTTGCAGGAAGCATCCTCCCTTGAGGCTCCTCCAGCCAGTCCAAAGCATCTAAGGGTGCGAAGCACAAAGGGGAAAATGCTCAGAAGCACCTATGGCTCTTAAGAGCTTAAGTTCCATTGAGAGTCAAAGGGACTTAAACTAAGCTGCTAAGATGCTTTTGAAGATTTTCCTCCCAGCAACTCCCATTTCAGGGGTGCTGGACACGAGCGTCCTTAACCCAGTTGGGGGATCCAAGGGGATGGAGGAGGCTTTGCTTCCGGAGCAGTGTTGCCTGGGACAGAGCCTGTGGGAAACACTGCTTCAGCTGTGGGCACGGCTTGCCGTTACGAAGCACTTCCCCACATTACTTCTCCTCAGCCCACATTGAAGCAGCGACTGAAACGTTTGCTGTGCATTTGAAGGCAGTCCAGCAGGGAGGGAGGGCTGTGCCCTCATTGCAGGCTCATAGAATAAAGCGACTTGAAAACACAAGAATGCATTTGGGATTCTTTTGCTTCTGTTTCGCCTGCATGCAAAAAGGAGAAGGGCCATTTTAAATACATTCTCTGCAAAAACTTCCACGCGGATCCAGCAGATGATGAAACATCTTCATCAGCCATTTCAGTGGCTGCTGTGGGAGAATTACTCCCATTAACCACATCAATCGAGCAAACACCTCGCAGGCACAGGGCTGCGCTCAGGTCTCTGCCTTCCAGCAGCACCGCTTCGTTTGTGCTGAGCATTAACACAGGTCAGTGGGTCACTGCATTTCCTCCTAGCAACCTCTTGAAAGAAAGAAGAAAGACAGAGGAACACTGAGCCCAGCCGCTGGCTGTCACCTCCCTCGAAGAGAGGAGAGAAACCCCCACTCCTCTGTTGCTCCCCAGGAGAGCCCAGCCCTGCAGGGACAGGGATGGTGGAGGCTGGAGCAGCTGGGACCAGCCTGGGACACGCTGTGCTCCGGGTGCTGGCAGCAAGGAGCTGCCCCAGGCACCGCGTCCCCACGGCCCCACAGTTCTGGCCAGTGCCAGCCTCGCCTCCTGGGGAAATAGAGCGTGAGGGCTTGGCTCCCTCACAGCGCTTCTGCCACACATCTCCCCTGCAGCCAGCAGCGCTGGCCGGCGCAATCCTATCAAACAGAGAGAGACTGTGGCCCTCGTCGCTCCCCAGCAGCCATGTGGGACGGAGGTGCTGCAGCTCTGCACCTTGCTCAGCCCCGTCAGGGAAGCTGACCCGGGGGCAGATCTCAATAGGGAAATCCTAATGCTCTGCAGCCCCAGCAGCCTGTGAACCATGCTCCTCAGCCCCAAACAGGCTCTGCTCCCAGGGCTCCCTCTGTGTGCTCAGAACAAATCCCCAGCCTGCTTCAAAACAAAGGCCACAGCCTTGGCACATGCAATTAGAGCAGCCAGAGCAGAGCCTTCATGGCTAAGCATGACTGTTTATCATCGTGGAGCTGCTCAGATCTTAAAAACAATATTTACAAGAAAGAAGCAGAGTATTATCTTCCATGGGGAAACAAACACAGATGGAGAAAAAAGAGCTTTGATCAGGACTGTCTCAGTCCTCTGCACTGCTTTTCATCCACAGATCTCCCAGTGCTTTAATATGACAGCATTATCCCTCTTTACGATATGGGAAACCAGAAGAAACTGCACACAAAGACAGCGCTGGGAGCGTGAAGCCACGGTGCCTCTCAGTGCACGCACACACACACACACACACGTGCAGACACACACACACGTGCAGACACACGCACACACATGTGCAGACACACACACACGTGCAGACACACGCACACACGTGCAGACACACGCACACACGTGCAGACACACGCACACACATGTGCAGATCACACACACACACATGTGCACACACACACACACGTGCAGACACACGCACGCGCTCCTCCTTCCTCCTGGCAGCATTTCTGCTCTGTCTGTGCATGCAGATGCCCGGCGCCATCCCAAGCAATGGGCACAGGGTGTTCTGGGGGTCAGCAGTGTGGGTGCCACAGATTTGCTGCTACCTGCCTGCAGGCACAGCGAGAGCAGAGCTGTGGGCATTGCAGGAGGAACAGGAAAACAGACAAGAACTCAACAAAGAGTCCAACAGCAGCCAGTAAGA